ATAGGAATGGCTCATTATACACACAAGGTTTTTAGATTGCCTTTAGTCCCTTCTGGGACCAGACAAAGTGTCAATCAACCACAGGGGCCTTACCTACAGAACGGGGACAAGCGACCTAAGAGGAGGAAGAAACCCGATGAAGGTAAACGGTTTCGTAAAGCAAGGAAAGCTCTACAGATGGAAGGTAAGACTGTTTTTTAGCCACTGACTGGCTTCCAGGCAACAAACATGCATCTATATTTGAAGGCCTTATCCAAAAAGAAAATTGGTGCTGAGTTCAAAAACTAATTCAAAAGGCCAAGAGAGTCCCAGGATTTGGCAGTGTCTGTGAATGACGGTCTGACCTGCCCAGAGCTCCACACTAGGCCTGCCTTCTGCATGCTGATGTAGTCTCCCCTATGCCATTTCCTGCTGCATCTGATTAGGCAAAGTAGATGTGACCCGACTTTATTTACAAGGAAATCCCTGGCTCGAAAATGCCTTAGCTTTCGCCAATGGTTCAACCAGATTCATTAGCACTGGTTAGCTTTACTTCCGGGACTGGTGACTTTCTAACTGGGGAGCACCGAGGGGAATCCTCCAGCTACAAGGACGTTCTCATTCAAAGTGTTCTAACCTTTTAGCTTCTCTTATGTTTTGCCTTAAATCTAACTTAGGGGGATAATCGAGAACATACACACACAAATTCAGTCTGAATGTGGCATTTTGGAGGAAAACCCCAGCTGAGTACATAAGAGTATGTTTCAGCTTTGCTAGAAGAGACATAGCTATGCATTATACATAGACTATAAAGACATTTTTTGTAAGCCTGACTTTTCAATGTTTGAATTTTAGAGCTTAAAATGTTCCATGTGTTTAGTATTTCTTGTTCAGCTACACTAAAGAGAAGTGGTCAAAAATTCGGTCCCCACATATGTGTGGCATATTTCAGGAATGTTTAATATATTATTATTTCTGGAGCTATGAGGTTTGTGAACACGGCTTTTACATCCATTACTGGTTGTAGCTAAGAGGTCGTTTATTCCATACATATTCATCGAGTGCCTACTATGTGCCAGGTCCCCTTTTAGAAAGATACAAGAACCAAGTCCACACACACACCAGAGGAAACAGGCCATAAATGAACGGTAAGTAAATATAATGTAATGTCAGGTAATGAAAAAAGTCTTTTTGCTTTAAGCCCAGCAAGGGCGGGGGGTGGGGGGGTGGTGGGGATGTGGGTGGGGCTGGTATTTTAGAGAAAAAGCCTTTCCCCTGAAGTCTCATTTGAATAAAGACCTTAATGGATCATTTGGTTATCTGGGGAAGAAGTGTCCCGCAGATGAGCGCCTCAGGCACGCTGGACTTCCTGGAAAAGCCTAGAGGCCATGTGGGGTGAGAGACAGGGATGACTCGTAATTGGAAATGAGGTCTTACAGGATACCGTATGTCCTAGGGTTCCTGGTGTCCCCGAAGTGAAAGGGCCACCAAACCCAGTTCCATTTTCTGGAGCTTCTAAACGATGATGATCAATAACAAGGCGAACCTGCTACCAAAAATGCAGTCTCCTTGTTAAGTTTCCCCTATTGCCTGTAAAAATGGATGTGGTGTCTCATCTCCTGGGCCCCCTTATCTCTGCATTTCTCCCTCCTGAAAAGCCCTTCTTGACTCCTCTCCCTATTTAATTTCTCCCCTATTCCAAAGATCATTTAAGCTCTGCCTCCTGAAGGATGCTCCCCTCCCTGGGGGTGCTGGGGCTGACTGGGAGTGGCTCTTCTGGCTTGGCAACTGGAGGCTTTTACTGGGGACTTCCTCACCGCCCATACATAGACTGGTGTTCAGGGCACCTCGGAAGCTGAAGGCGGAAACGTTGGTGGGTAGTTCCCTGTGTCAGTTTCTCTGACGAGGGCATTCCTCGGTCCCATGAGATTTTAAAATGAATCTCTGATTTAAAAAGATTGAGAACTGGGCGCCTGCATGGCTTAGTTGGTGTTATGATCCTGGAGTGGATGGATCAAGTCCCCACATCAGGTTTCCTGCCCAGCAGGGAGTTTGCTTCTCCCTCTGACCTTCCCCCTCTCTTGCTCTCTCTCTCTCTCTCTCTCATTCTCAAATACATAAATAAAAAAATCTTAAAAAAAAAAAAAAAGATTGAGAACCACTACTCTTGCCAGTGCTTCTCTGACATCAAATGGGCACACAAACCATTGACGTTTCATTAAGATGAAGACTAAAATTCGGTAGCCCTGGCGTGAGGCTTGGTGCTGCTGGGTCCCAAGCCCCTTGCCCACACTGGGTGGCAAAAGCTAGAATAATTCTAGCCAGCACTTGCTTGTAGACACTGGCATGTTGCTCTGCCCTGTAAGTAGACTGCAGGTTTCTGGACAGCAAGGGAACCGCTGACACTTCTTGGCTCTTGTCCCACAGTTGGGACTAATAGACCCACCATGGAGCCTACCAGATGCTTGCCTACCGATGTGAGTGCGCTAATTGAGCCTGATTAGAACATCTTTTCTATGTCCACTTTTTTAGTCTCACTTAGGCTTCTAAAGTTACCCCCAAGTGTTCAAGGCTAAACTTCTCTGTAATTCAGAGCAGAATCCCAGAATCCCTTAACGGTTCCTCATGCAACCCTTTTCTCTCCCCATAAATGAAATAAAAATCCACCAAGCCTAAAAGCCTAAAATGTACTCATTTGGAAGGATAATGCACGGTCTCTAGGAGGGCGCTCCCGGTCACTGAGGTTGATCAGTATCAAGAAGATGGCCAGTACGAATCGATAATGTGTAGCAAAGAGACCAGGATTCAGCAAACCGGTACCACCAGGCCTAGAAGGGACAGGTTCTGGACGAACTGTCTTGAGCCCAGAAGGGAAGTCTTACAAGGCACAGAGATGGAAATTTTCTAGAAGATGAGGAATGGTGTAGAAAAGTGAAAATGGGGTTTTGGAATAAAATAGCTACCCCAAACAAGCTGCCACTCTATATTTGCACAAGCTGTAAAAGAAGCAATTTACTTAATGTGGAAAAAAAAAAAGGTGTTTTCAACAGCGGCTAACTATAGAGCAAATGAAAAAAAAATTTACACGTAAGACATATGTGTAAAGAATGTCTTTGTGTGAGCAAAAGGAATTTTTCATGTGGTATTTAATAAATATATACAGATATTATTTGTACTTATAAAAATACCACATGCAATGAAAGCTATGCATAAATATTTATAAAAATCCCTTTATCTAAGTAGGCCAGTAACATTTAATATTTTTCAATAAATCCATACATAAAATATATACATTCGTGCCAAATGGAACATATATTTTGAAATATGAACCCCAAGTAAAACTCTGAGGAATCTGGAGTAAAATCCAGGTATCTGCCAAAGGAAACTTTGGAGCAGTTGTCATTTGAAGAAAAGAAACAACGCCGGGTCTCTTTATCTTCCCGGACTGTTTTGCCGGTCAGATTTCTAAGGTCTCTTCAGCTGAGTTTTGTACTTGACTTCCAGCCTGACGGCCATTTGACCTGCCTGCCAACTATTATTCTCTTTGAGGGTTTTACCACTCCACCCAAGTCTTCTGCTCTCCAGAGCTGTTGTGTACTTTTCCTTTTCCCTTTTCACTTCACCTTAACGTCCGCCTCAGCCCTGGCTTACAACGCCGGCTTGTGCATCCTCTAAGGTTTCAGACCCGGGGGCGTTGCGGTGAGGACCTGAAGCCCAGGGCGCTCGGCAAAGTCAAGGTCCTCTGCAGGGTATCTGCTTTGTGCCAGGATTTCCGTCCAACCCGAGAGTCCCTGGGCCCGAGTGAGGCCGGGAGAGCCCGACTGCACCCCCTACCCCACCCCCCTCCCGCGCCGGGTTCCAGCCACCTCCCCAGGCCGACCGTGCGGGCTGGGACTTCGCAGCCGGAAAACGCCGCCCTTTCCTGTCGCCTACTCATTAACCCAGGCGGACTACTCAAGAAGGAAGAGACCGAGACGGATTAAGAAAATTAATTAACTGGGTCCAAGCTGGGCCTCCGGGTGGAGGGGCGGGGCGTGCTGCGGCGGTGGCCCGAATGACCGGCGGGCGCAGGTGCCTCCAAGGGCGGAATTTTAGGCTCCCGGGCCGGCAGCTGCGCCACTTGCGCCTCGTCGCGCATCGGGGACAGCCGTCACCCGCCTGCCCCAGCTTCAGGCAAGTCTCTTTAGGGACCCCGCGGGAGAGGAAACACCTCCCTCTGGACTGGAAAAACCTGCAGCGTAGGCTGTTTGCGTGCCCACTCGCTCAGCCCGCAGACCCGGGAGTCTCCAGTGCGCCAAATCCACCCTCCGGGTTTTGGCAGCAGCTCCAAAGGGAGCGAGCTGGAAACTGACAAAACACGACCTTTCCCCCGAGCCCGGGCCACTAGTGGCTGGGGCACCCGGGGGCCGGGCAGGGTCGGCGCGGTCAGGTGGCCCCCCACTTCCTTGAGAGTCACCCGCGCGCGGCGCCCGAGCCAAGCCGGGCAAGATCGGCTTGTTGGGGCCAGGAGAGGTGGGCACAAGAGGTTTAGTGCAGGTGTCCAGGGTGCGGGCGGAGTCCCTTTGTCCTCGGGCACCCAGGCGGTAGCACCCCGGGGTCCCTCTTTGAACCGAGCTTCTCCCGCGACCTCTCTTTGTGCCGAGGGAGCTGAACGCTGCCGCTCAGAGCGTAGCCGCATCCCTCAGGGTGACGCCAGGGCGGTAACAATGGGTGCCCATTGGACTCCAGGGGCCCGCAGGCCCTGCAGCGGCTGACCGCCCCCCCTCGGCCCGGCCCAGGCGCAGGTACCGCGGCGGGGTGGGTCTTGGGGGCCGCGCGCGCCCTCCGGCCCGCCCGGGCCCGCCCCCTGCGCCGCGGGCCCCGCCCCGGCAGCCCCGCCCTTCACAGGTTCAGGCTCCGAGTCCAGTCGTCGCGCGCTCAGTTGGCTCGCACCTTCCCTCCGGGCGGTGGTCCGAGCGGTTTAGGAGCCCAGGGGCGGGCTTGGAGCGTGGGCAGAGCCTGGAAACCCGCGGCCTCGGGCTCCTTCAAGCCGACTCGGAGAAGACAGTGCTGTGAGGTGCCGCGCGGGCCGAGTGGGCTGGATCGGCGGGTAACGGGCCGGGACTGCGTGTGTCCTCGGGAGGCGTCCGTGCGGGGCGTCCCGCCCTGGGGCAGCGGCTGGGATCGTCGGGCTGTCTGGTGAGTCGCTGCCTGCCCAGGACTCCTTCCTCTTTGCCCGTGAGTCTGTCCGATCCGCGGTCGTGGCCGCTTCCGGCGTGCGCGGGGTGCTAGGTTTGGAAACGCACAGGGAGCGGGGAAACCGGGAGCATCGCCTTCCCAGCTGGTGTCCAAAGGACCAAAGGGGGCCAAAAAGCAAACCGGGAGGGGTTCGGGTGGCACGACCGGGACGCAGAGCTCCACCATTTGTGCCCACCACTTTTCAGGGTGGGGCTGCACGCCTCCGCTGCACCCTCCAAGCTATTGACAGCCATTCTGGGCGCGTATTGCATTTTTCCATCTGAGAACAAACCGCACATGGCTACCGCTCCCCTCCCATCGTAGGTTGGCACCGGGGCCACACATGGGTGCACCGTGCAGATCTGCGGTGGCACTGCCCCCCGGGTGCTCTCTCCTGCCTTGACAGGAGGCATTGTGGCTGGAGCTCCAACCTGCAGGTCAGGCAGTCTATATATATATATATTTTTTTTTTTTGACGGTGGTTTCTGAACAGCTGAAGCGTTTTCAAGATTTTTTTTTCCTCCTTGAAACTGCCTTGACACAGAAGAGTATCAGACATGTGAGGACGAATGGATCTGGGCAGTCAGTCATTTTTTTCGTTATGAATTATTGTACTCCATCCCCCTCTCGACTTTGGGAGGCATGTGTTTCATCTTATAAATAGAAAGTAGCATATTTTTTGGCAGGACCTCCTTTATACTGTACAGTCTAAGAGAGGTCAGTTTAAAAATAAATATGCACTTGAATGTTGAATTACCGAGAGCCAGGCTGTGGCTGGGACAAGCTGCGTGGACAGCAGCATCAAAGCCCGGAGCACAGCTGTGTTGAAAAGAGTAAAAGCCCCAGAGTGCAGCCCAGGCTGACAGTCAAGTAATTACATTTTGTTTAAAAAAAAAAAAAAAAAAAAAAAGAGTGAATTAAAATGAAGGCGGGAATAGGAATGTCAGGAGGGTATTGCCACGTGAATCTTTTCAGCTCTGGTGTATTTGGGGGAGGCGCTGCTTCTATGTACTGAGGGTGTTGGGGGTTTTGGGGAAGGAGGTGCTGGGAAGGGGGAGGGAATTGTTGAATGTGTTAGGGAGACAAAGATTTTTCTCCCCACCCCCAACTTTTAGGCCTCAGGATGTTCAAGAATTTCTTGGGGGTGCTGCCTTTTAGAAAGAACAAGAAATTAGAGGAGTGCAGCAGATGTCCCTATTTGAATAGCAGGGCCAGTCTTGGAGACTTCCCCTTCACATTGCAGGGAGACAAAAGGCTCCCTGAAGCTGTGATCATGCCCCAGGGGTATCTCGAAGGCCGTTTAAAAGACTCCTCAAACGTTCTTAGAAAAGATCTTGCGGCTCACAACCAGGAGCTTCGCTTTTTTCCTGGACAGTTCTAGAAGTCTTCTCGTTGACACCACCTGTAATTTGTATGAGCTCCGATTGGCAGTTAGAGAATCACCTAGACCCCTCTGTGATACAAACCCTTTTCAGAATGGATCTAAACACTCAGGAGATAAGTTGGGGCGATTGTGAAATGTTCAGCATTGTCACGGGTGGAATCAGGGATTGCTTGTATTTGTATAGTAGAGGAATGGTGGAAAGTTCTTCATTCAGTCTCCCAAAGAATGTCGATTTCCTAAGGGGCCTCACTCACTGAATGCAACACTGAGTACCAGCCTCTGGGCTCGCAGATAAGAACTTTACAGAAATTTGGAAGGGTTTCTGGATCCATGGCAGTTTCTGTTTTCCAGTGGTATCATCTGCAAGAGATTTACATTATGGATTCCATGATTGGAACATGGAGCTGTGGCTGTGGCAGCAGCTACAGACATGAAATCAGATGAGCTCCCCCTTCCCTCCAAATCTGAGCGAGGAAATTCTGTTTTCTATCTGTTTCTAACGTAACATGTAAAGACAGCTAAAGTAATGAGTGTTGCACTTTGTCTCTTCTTTTCTTTCTTTCTTTCTTTTTTTTTTTTGCTTTCTACTGTAAATGTAAATGTGCAAGAAGAGTAAATACAAAACCCTAAAATTTACCACAGGAGTGCTCGCATGTGCTGGTTTGTCTTTCTGCTGTCCAGCTTTCCTTTTAGCGTGGTGTTTTGTTTTATGTCCAACGTGCTCATAAAAGCTGCCCTTTTTTTGCTTCTAGAATTCATGGTATTCAACAGCAGTGGGGATAAAGTTGTTTTAAACCGTATCACCCGAAAATTTTTACCAGGCCATAAATTTTTCCCAAGCTCTGTGCCCAGCAGCCATCACATTTATCCAGTGGGTGAAGTATAATTCATAACCTGAAGAGACCCTCCAGAAAGACTGCTCTGATGTTTTCTTTTTAATTATTAAAATTCTTATTTTTGGTCTGATTTCGTTTTGGCCTGGCCTAATTCTTTTTAACCAGTATCCTGTGAACCCTATAATTCATTGATTGAATAAGAACCTCAGTCAATTTTTAAGTGCAGTATGTTTGCCAGAGAATAAGGATGGTCACTGGAGCCTAGTAGATTCAGCCAGATCCAAAATCTCCTTTATCAAGGACTGCAGCCCCAGAATTCTGCTAATACATCACGCTGTTCAGGACTTTGGGTGAGAAAGGTACTTCCTACATGGAGCCTGTCCTGAATGCCAAGCAATCTTCTCAGCCCTTTACCTCCATTTAACCCGGTTATTTCTAGCAGGCATGCTGTGAAGGAAAGCTGTTAATATTCCCATTTCACAGATGTGGAAGCTGAGGACAGAACTGTTTTATACTTGCCCAAAATTACACTAAAAGGAAAAAATCTAAATATGCCTATGTAATTTACTTGGCTTGCAGGAGTGGCTAACCTTGCATGAATGTCATACCAATTTAGGGTAAGGAAATGGGGGGAAAACCCTAAGGCTAAAAAGCCTCTCTGAGTCAGGCTCCCCTGGGCTCATAGCCTGGCTCTGGCACTTGATACCTGTGTGACTTTGAGCAAATTACTTAACCTGCATACCTCAGCTTAGCGATTATGAAATAGGGATAGTAATATTAACTTTGAGAATGAAATGAGTCAAAAAAAAAAAAAAAAAAAGTAATGCACTCAGAACAGTGCCCAGTCCAGAGTAAGCGCAAGAAAAGATTGATGCTTTCATTGTTGATTTTAGTTTTTTTCTTAGGTCTTTAAGGCTGGCTCTCTTGTTTAATATCCGTAACTACTCTGAGGTAGACAGTATTCTTCTTGTTTTCCGGATGAGAACACAGCCTCAGAAAGGTTTAGTAACTTGGCCAAGGTCACACAGCTTAGTAAGTAGCAGAGTCAGGTTTGAATTCAGGTCTAGTTGACCTTGTACTAAATACCACATCCCCACCCCTGGGGAGGAGGGGCAGGGAGGCTGTGAAATCTGACTCCTGTGAGGGTTTGGGGCTTCTGGCAGAGAACTCCTTTCCTAGTACTCCATATTCAAAGGAAGATGGCAGTCCTGCCAGCCTTGGGGAAAACCACGTGAATGATTTCATTTTCAAAGATAGTTTAGTGTCCCAGGTGTGGCACCAGTCTTCTCCTGTAGTGGATCCAGCCTCAAAGGGCCAGGGTGAGCATCTGATTTATGTCATAAATGAAGAGATGTGCCTTGTGGACCCAAAAGCAAAAAGGGGAAAGAAAAGCCTGAAACATCCAGAAGCGAGCCCAGGATGAAGCGGGGCTGAGGTTGGGCCACATGGTTGCCCTGAAGTTCTGAGAGGCCAAGGTCCCAGTGTCCCATGAGCTGGGTGGACGGTCCCGTCCTTCAGGCCGGTGACCACACCCACAGTGCCTGGCCCTTCAATCCCCTGGCACCCCACAGTGGGCCTTTAATACATGTTTCATAACAACGCTGCTTTGGGAGGAGCTACGCAAGAGGCAGGAGCCACCAGTAAGCCGGGCAGGAAGGTTCTGTCCTTGGAGGAAGTCGGGCCTCATTAACAGTTCCAAGTTCTACACAGGCCCTGGGCCCTGCCAGATAAGTGTCTGCTGAGACAGATAGAGGAAGGGGGCCTGGGGAACCTACCAGAGGTGGCCTGGATAACCCACAGGGGGCCGGCCTAGCCTCAGCTGCCTTGGACTTGTGGGAATGTGATTAGCGGGGGCAGGGAGCTGGGCTGCTTGGACCCAAGTAGGGGTTCTGGAAGGCATGGCTCAAAATAACTCCGGTTGCCTCAAAACTAGGAGCAGTAGCCTTCCAGCTGTCCGCCTCCATTTGGAATCTGCCCTTCTCCTGCCCCACCCTTTTAAAGGTTATGAAAAGAAACAGCACCCCACAAACCAGAATAAATAAGTTAAGTAGCCAAGTATTACAGCTATTATAGCAATAGTTGGGTACATTTCTTTCCTTTAAAAAAAAAAAAATGCCTTCCTTGGCCTTGATACATTTCTTCAATGCCAAGTTCACCATTGTCTCATGATGATGGGCTGAGTTCGACGGTACCCCTGGTGGAAAAGCCATTTTTAAAATGAAACCACAGTTTAATAATATGAATTGCAATATTGATATTTTAAAAGTTCTCTGTTTCTGAAGAGCCAAGCAAACTGATGAATTTGGAAGCTGGTGACTTCTGAATTAGTATTTGTGGAATCCTTATTGCTCGCCCAAGTCATGGATTAATAGTAGAATCCTCGAGTTTCAAGTTTGAAATTTAAAAAAGCTGATTTTCAGTGATTTGGGCTTTGTTTGCATATTTGAAAAAGTCATTATTTGCCTTCTAGCCTTTGGTTCTTTGTTAAACCGTGTTGTAGTGATAACACATCTGCAGTTAGCTAGGACACCACCACTTACCTTGGACCCTGAGCGAGGATTATTTGGGGAAGTAGCCTGATGAAGGTCCCTTTCTGCAGGACTTCTCAGAGCATTTAATCTGTCACTGTGTTCAGTGAATCTCCACACGGAGATGGTGTTCAGAGTCTCAGATCATTAGCCCACAGAGCAGTTGGCAGGGCTAGTCTGGCAGGAAACACACTCTGGGAGCCACTGAGCCAG